ACTTCCTCCATGATAGAGAATTTATATTAACATCATCAGTACTGCTTTTGGGATGACATTCAAAGATCTAAAATAATGATATATTTCACAGATACCAAGATTTCATTTCTTACCTGGTCCTAGCTACTGCAAGGAATATGTTACAGCTGTAGATGGCCATGCTTTGCCTTGAATCTGTTTACTTATCTACGATCAGATGAAATCTAATATACCAATAAAAAATTTAGACATATGCCAGTTAAATAAAGAAATGATTTTGAAATATTTAACTACAGATACGGTCATCTAGGAAGTATTAGTAAACACAACTTCTATCCATTATAAATCTTTAGTCATACACATGAGATTATGGATCATTTCAGATTTTTACACACACACACACACACACACACACACACACACATATATATATAAACACACACGCACACATATGTTTAAGTTTTCGCGGGTATTTATATGTATGGTATTCAGCTTTGTTCGGGTATTTTCCCATGTCATTATAGTTGTGCTTTTAAAATTGTAGATAGATAGATAGATAGATAGATAGATAGATAGATAGATAGATAGATAGATCGATCTTTGGTTATTTGGGTTTTCTTGAATAACCAAAGAAGCTGTACCGCAGCTGCATCACTACCCACTTCAAACCCCTCCGAGCCATACATGAAGCGAACTGATGCCCACCATGAAGATGTGGCACGACCACGAACGTGAAGCCAAACAGCAGGATCACAGCTCACCAGCTCAAATCCCCCAGCAACTAAGACTAACCTGAGCACAACCAAGCCCCGACCTGAACAGAACACAACCCCAGCCAATCAGAACACAGCCAAGCCCCAAACCAATCAGAACACAGCCAAGCCCCCACCCAAGTCACACCCCCACCAGCAGTCAAAAGGAAGAAGCAGCTGCAAGTTTGGATATCCTTTTTGTTAGCTCAGACCCTATGAGGGGAAATGTTTAATAACAGAATTACTCATGAAGAATTGGATTCCAAGAGATTGACTCCCCATATATGGATCATTGAGTCTTATATTACAAAATATGGAATGCAAATAAAGTAATTGCCTATTTACTTAGACTTAGAACTTAGAATAACTTCATTGTCACTTTAAATGTACACCACCTCCAATATAAACTAAACATGATAAATGAAGGAAGGAAAGAAGG